TACCACTGAGCTACAAGAATGGGGGACCCTGGACTCGGGAGCAGGGAGAACTCTGTGAGTCCTAGGTTTCATTTGCTCTGGACTAAAGCAGGAATACGATTCTGGATTTTTTGATAAAAAGATCCAATTTAATATACTATTCCTTTTCCTTCTGTGAATTGAGAGGAATTAAAGATATTTCCAATTCTTTGTGTTCAGCCACTAATGAAATCTGACCAAAAGAAATAATTTATTGCAGGAGTCAAGCAGTTAGCCTTGAATATTGCTGTTTAGCAGATTTGAATTAGATTAAAAGAATTCGTAAAACTTCAATCATGGTCCCAAGGATGCCACAAAGGAATCACATCTAGGAGACCTGGAGAAGAGCCAGCTCTGGTCACTTTAGCTGCTCTCTCCTGTCACCACCTGATGACAGATCTTCTGATAAGAGGAGAAGGTTTAGGTTAAGGGGCCTAAATGTTACTGAGCTGACCAGACATGCCCCAGCTGGAGCAGTGCTCAAGTCCCCACCTAAATCACAATGCAGTTATGAAACTAAGACATCGAACACTTCATGCACCAGCAGACTGTGAACAATGAAGCAATGTGTAATCAAAAGACACAGTCTGAGCTGGGTGTGGTAGCCCATGCCTATGATCCTAGTACTTTGCAAAGCTGAGGCAGGAGGATTAAAAGTTCAAAAAAGCTTCTGTACTTCAAAAGAAACCATTAGCAGAACTAAGAGACAATCTACAATGTGGGAAAAAATTTTTACCAGCTGTACCTCAGACAAAGGACTATTATCAAGGATATATAAAGAACTCAAAACAATCAGTCCCCCCAAATATAAAGACCCGATCCAAAAATGGGCATCCGAAATGAACAGACATTTCTCAGACAAAGAAGTAAAAGCAGCAAGAAAATATATGAAAAAATGTTCTACATCACTGGTCATTCGAGAGATGCAGATGAAAACAACACTGAGATTCCACCTCACCCCACAAAGAATGGCTGCTATCAAGAAATCACACAATAACAAATGTTGGCGGGGTTGTGGGGAGAAAGGAACCCTCCTCCATTGTTGGTGGGAGTGCAGACTAGTGCAACCACTATGGAAATCAATATGGAGATACCTCAAA